AGAGTTAGGAGACAAGCATGCTTATCGTAGTGACCACTCGAGCTCTACGGGGTCGAACGTCAACCCTCCTTACCCACTATCTTTCCTTGGAGCCTTTATAGGCTTACCTTCCGATTCCCCAGCACTCCACCATTCTCGATTTCGCACATCACAGAATCCGATCCAATTTCTTTAACAGTAAGTGATATCAGGCCATCATCGATGAAAATCCGACCACCCTGAAGTAATAGCTTCTTACATTGACCACAAATACTGACCTTCCATAAGGTATTTGATGACAAATGGCGCTGCTAATACGTGTCTACAATCTTGAGACCAAAATTCTGGGCTTGTTCGCATACGTTAGCTAGTATACCATAGAAACACTTTGAGTACAATATCGAACCTACCTTGTTTCAAGAACTTTGACTCTTACACCCGCTGATTCCCTTTCCTCACTGTGTGTACCACTTATGGCTCCAGATGTTATGGAAGTAAACGCCTTGGCACAATTAAAAGCATGGCGACCTTCTCGTACCTTCTCTTTCAACCGCACCTCTCATCAAAAGCTTACTACTTGGATGAGGTTGAAGAAGACTATCTCTTAGTAAGGGGGATCGACCACAAAAGAGACCACTGAACCTCGGAGTCTATAGGAATTGATCTATACACAACCAAAAAGTTTTACCTCATGAACAACTTTGGGAAGGTTTTTATAGTCAACATAGAGAGATGTAGCGGTACTGCTGTCCTGCAGTTTTGGATCGGTCGATAGGTAAATGGTATCGCCTTGCTTGAGCGTCACTTCCTTACCCTGAAAAGTAGAAGTATAGAATAGTAAGAAAACAGCAATGTCGTCCAGAAAAAGGGAAAGAATGTAAAAAAAACCGACAAAACTCACCCCATGTAACATACCAGTTCGGATTTCTGGTCCTTTTGTATCAAGAGCGATAGCTAATGGGGCAACATGGCCTTTGGCAGCTTCACGGAGTAATGCAATGGTTTTTGCATGCTCCTTTAAAATAGGCAATTTATAGAAGTCGGAATGTTTGAAAAGCGATTTTTGCTTCCAAAAAGAATTTAAAAATATGTAAAGCAAACGACCTCATGAGATCCATGACTGAAATTTAATCTTGCTATGTTCATGCCTTGTGTAATCATGTCTTTAAGAAGATCCAGCTTACTGCAGGCTGGCCCTGAAAACGTGTAGTTCGTAAATGGACTCGTTGAAGCAGAAGATATCAACAAAAATTCAACGGAAAGGTCATCGAGAAGCTAGCCAGACACGCCCCTTTGTTGACGAATTGTCTCGGTGGGGAGGCATCACTGGAATCTCTATGTATTCTAAATATCTATCCAGCTCCATCAGCATTTTTACTTTTCTCAATAATATTTTTTCAAAATACAAAGCATATATATAATCAAAAAAATTCCAGAAGGTTTTATTGATATTCTCCCATTCGGATTCTTTCAATTCAGCGCTATGTAGAAAATAACTTGGACATTTGTTCGAAGGCTGAAGTCCCCCCTCGGATGACTTGTTCATTCTCCGGTTCTACTTAAAAAGTTTTGTTTTTTATTTTTTGAGGGCAAGCTAGAAAACGAATGGATGAAAAATCGGCCCATTTTCTAATCAATTTCGAAAAACTATTTATTGATTCATTCAATATCATTTTAAGCAATGCATCAGAAAATTCGTACCTACAGTACATATGATGGCTGTTTTCCTGTGCTTGGCAGGCTCATCGGCGACGTTGAGTTGACAAAGATGCTCCAAATATGTAGCAAAATGTCCGAGATCATAGTTTCTAAAAATTGGAAACCTACTTCCTAACTTTTGAAACTTTTCCAGTCAAGATTAGTATAAGTATATAAAAAGTCAAAAAAAAAAACTGTATGCTGTGGAGCAGATGATAGGGGGACTAGATCTTGGCTACGACTGCGTAAGAGATAGGGATTGTAGAACCTTATACGGGAACTTAAAAGAAATAGGTTTGCTAGGAAGTAGCATGCTACCATGGTGAATGGTCAACAGTTGCCCCAGGGCCGCTGAGCTGAATGATGAGTTGTGGATGCGCCCTTGATCTCCTCCAGTTCTTCAGAGGGGAGGGGGGGTAGGCTTTTAGTGGGCCAAACTCTTAAAAGGTCCAGAATGTTTGTATTTTCTATTCCAGGGAGGCTTGGGGCTTGGACTAAACGCCAATATGATCAGAGCGTCAATAAATGTTCATTGGCTATCACTGAGGGCACATTGAAGGAACAGCATCCATAAATTTTACTGTAGCATTAGCTTTAACTGGCAGCCCTAGCCATGCCAAGTCCATTTTTTTTCATAGGATAAATATGAAGGGTTGTGAGACGACTGAAAGATGCTGCCAGGAGCTCGCCCACCGACTTCCGTAACGTGTACAGTCAACCTGAACTCGAGCACTCTGATAAAACTCTGTTACACTGGGAGGCTTCCAGGCCTAAATTCCTGCTCAATTCAATATTTAGGAAAGATGCTCAAAGGTTTTGAGATGGCTTGTTTGTTGCAAACAGTAATGAAGTGAAGAAACGAATTGCGAACCTATTTCTGACTTGGGCTTGGAGCTACGTGGGAAACCAATAACCAGGTGTCACCAACTCACCTCCCTTTCGGGAAATCCTGTCGGAATTTCCGAAATAGAGCGCTGATGGTCAGATTTTCTAAGGTCATCAAAGGTCAATAAATTCCTTGCAAACCTCAGTACCTCCTGTAAAACCTCAGTACCACCTATGTCGCCGACAGGTCTAATCGGCCTTTACTTTGTACTTCGCTCAAACCAGTTCTATGCAAAATTTCTACGCAAACAATGAAGTGCACGTGTCAACAGGCAAGTAATTTGAGATCCTGACCTTGTACCTGGCGATTTTGCATTGCCTCTTGCCGAATTGAGGCCTTACCTCAATTCTACCACGTCCATGCCCTGGCTATATGAGCATTACAAAAAACTTCCTCGATGCTTTCCAAGACTGATTTTCTTTTTTTTTTNTTTTTTTTCACAAACGATTAACGACTAATTTCGCCTATTTCGCTGGCAGTTTTGTTGAGAAAAGAAGAAGGTTTTTCAAACCAACAACAGTGTCCTATGTTCGAAGTTTTGAAGAGGAAGTTAGAGAAACTCATAAAGATTCCATTTGATAGAGTAGTTTATCGTTGGCCACGCATGAGTGTCACACTATGACGTACTATTGAGTGGCAGAGATTCCCAAACAACATCTAAACACTTTCCATTGTCAATCTATGATGAAGTGCCATAGACCATCCGTAAACTCATCCCCGCATCGCTCATTTGAGCTATTTTGGAGACTTCAGTTCTAAGCCTTGAAAATTGGAAGTTTCCTGCTACCGCTCTTGCGAGAAATGTATCAAAAACTATCAAAAAGAAAAACTGAGAATGCTCCATCGAATTCACCTGTATCTTGGAGAGAGCCGTCACTTCACAGAGAGACTTCACATTACACTATCTGTTCTATCGTCCCCAAAAAATTAATTAATTGCACAAGACCTTCATAAGAACCGTTTTCTGCAACTTCCTATCGATCCTCAGTAAGACGGCGCAATTCCTGTCTCATCCCACGGCTTCTTATTCTAACTAATAAGCTTTTTGGCAGTTTCCGAACTACCGATAGACCTTCATGGAGAAGAGTCGGGGAGGTAGGGAAGAGTGAGATTGCAATCGAGATGCTGGCATGAGTGCTGCACTTACGTTATGCCTTCGCCAATATTAAATGATATTTACGGAAGAGGTTGAGGAATCTCTGGAAATCAAGGCAATAGAGATGAACGAATGGCTCAGAAAACATCGCTGTTAGGGTTTTTCTTATGTGATGAACTTTACGATGATGATGTTTACGGAACTCCACGGCAACTGAACAACAGCAACCACAGAGATCAACCCAGAAAACATAAAAATGCTGCTGCATTTGCTTCTGTCTAGGCAGCTGTTTTCGGCATTTTCCCACATTATCCTCCTAATCTGTCTTCATTACCATCAAAAGAACTGGGCAATCCGCAAGAAAGGTTTTTACCATTCCCGTGACCAAAGTACGAATCTGTTGGCGAGAACGGGATACACCACATTCCTCCTGCAGCGGATGAAGTTATGATTCATTAGATTGCATCAGTATGGGCGTATTCAGCAGATCTCGGAAGGAGACTTTTTCTTGAAGTAACGAAAAGCAGTTCGCATCAACATTAACAGGTATTTCTACCTGAGGAAGGTGTTTTGCATTTGGAACGAGCTAACAAAAGTCTCAATGACAAAGAGGACAACGTTAACAAATTTCTGGGATACATCCTATTCAGTTTTACAGATCCCGGAAATCAGAATGCTCTTTGTTACTTACTTTCAACGCTCCCAGCTTTTCATCAGCAAGGGTCTGAACATGGCAAGGAGAAAATAACTGTGTTAAATTTCATCAAATTGAAGGAAATTAGGATGTTCTTTTTGTCTGTTCACAGAATCACTTAAAGAGCCTCTTATTTCAACTTAATCCTCAGTATACAATGTTGGCTTCTGAGCGATAGCCAAATCATAGGATAAGGTTGGTGGAGTGCCAACCAGCGCACTACAAGACGCCTGGATTGGGGATCAAATCCCTGACTGTTAGCCCCTAAGACTATTCAAATCAAAGTATCGAGGCCAGCCCTGAAAGAAATGCGTTGCGCATCCGAAAACAAATTTGATCCACGACGGAGAGGTCCTCCGTCGTTGAGCAACTTTGCTTTCGGATGCGCCACGCACTATCCTTTATCCTTTTACCTATGGTATATGGGGAAAAAGTCTATAAAAATCCAAATCTTCAAAAACGTTTGAAAGCGAAAACCTCTAAAAAAGTGGAGAAAACTCACGGGGTCCTGTCATGATAAGGAGAGACCGCGACTGGCATCGATCCTGAAAAAGCAAATCAGCTGAATTGATACAGCTCCGTTGGCTACGACAAATCGGTGGAGCGTAGCCTGGTAAATAAAATCATGGATATTGAATAATAGAACATTCGAGAAGAAACAGACGAATACTGGAATCGACGATTTAATGTTACTGCCTTCGCTAAAGAATTGTGATGGGGCCAAAGGACGTTCCAGAACACGAGCCAGACGGTTCTCTACGCCAGGAAATGGGCGATAGGAGATCCAGCAGATGAGTAAATGTTTACATAGCATGCACGCATTAGAAAATGTTTCAGTATAGAGGAGAAACCGCTTCACACGATAAAATGTTTCCATTAATCTGGCTGCAATTTCCTTAGGGTAGAGAAGTTTTATGGGAAGGGAGGGACTTCGAAAAACAAAGAAAAAGCTCACGCGAGAGAAAAAATTTCATTAAAAAGGGATTGGGGAAAATGCAAAAAATTTTAATCGGCAGTAAAACTTCAGGTCATAGCCAAGAAAAATCCACGGAGATCAAAATCTTCGAAGAAGACGAAAGGTAAGGAGAAGAGCAAAGGAAGAGCAAAAGCTCAAAAGCGGCTTTTATTCCTCTCAGAAAGTGAAGAGAACGATTGTAATGCTACGAAGAATATAATATTGGAATGGATCCAAACGTTCAGGTGTGAGAATGTAAAGAGAAACCTCTTGACTTTGAGAGGGGATACCCGCCTCTCGGAACACTATTCACATCCACTGAAATGAGTGTTGTGGCGAACACGGAGGAATCGATATTGCTTTAGGTTGCACTATGGTTTTGGAGAAAAACAACCGGAAGCTTGCGCAGGCTTTTTTTGAAATTTTCGCTGATTTTTCTAGAATATTTGAGTGCACGGAAAGTCTAATTAGCTGAAAAAAAAGCGATAAATTCTATGTTGTCATGCTGGGGCACGTAGTATTGATGAAAAGCGTCAAGGGAAGTTTGTTTTGTTGATGCTATTCAATGAATGAGTAGTTGTTCGATGACTGCTATGCAGCCATTTGAAGTTGGTGCTAGTGAATTTCCTACAGATTTGACTTGCCACTAGAGGATTATCCAGAAATTCCTTAGGTTATTTGGAATGGCTCCTTTGTGAGGAAAAGGCCGTAGCTTCAAAAGGAGCGAAAGGCAAAGACACTCTTGGTTCAGTTACTGTGTCCATATTGATTCCCATCCTAAACAGTTCTTTCCAATAAATGACTGGCGAGCTGATCATTATTGTGGAAGTGAGTCATAGAGGCTACCCCAACTGCACAATGAACGACCAGTTTTATGTGGGCTTTGTAATAGTGGAAGTAACCTTAGGGGCACCAATATCTTGATAAATATAGTAGGAACTTAATAAATCGAAAAACAGGACAAACTAGAAGCAGCCAGCGGACTTAAATAGCTATAAAGATGAGCAAGATGAAGACGAGAATGCGAAGCGAGTTGTAGGGCTTCCTGGAGAAAGAATCACGGATCTTTCTTCATTGGGACTCCTTACTGCCAAGGAACCTCAAGACTGAGGGTGGCGCGATCCCTGGTGATGTGTATGAACCGCAGATAAGGAATTGTTTTGTCCTAGTACACTGAAGTACGGCTGCCCAGTCCTCTTATACCTTACAACCTCTCAGAGATGACGGTGTGCTCACTCTGTGTG